TAAACCACCACCAACACAAACTGGCTTATAAGTATAAAACCAAATTTACTAGAATAATAGCTAGAATAGAGATAGACTTGTAACCATTCAAGTGGTACCTCGGGTTAAGTACTTAATTTGTTCTGGAGGTCCGTTCTTAACCTGAAACTGTTCTTAACCTGAAGCACCACTTTAGCTAATGGGGCCTCCTGCTGCCGCCGCACCGCTGCTGTGCGATTTCTGTTCTCATCCTGAAGCAATCTGAGGTACTATTTCTGGGTTAGCGGAGTCTGTAACCTGAAGTGTCTGTAACCTGAAGCGTCTGTAACCTGAGGTACCACTGTACCAAGGTGCCACGTGCAAGACAAAGCCTGGAGATACAGTAAACATGGAGTAGATAAATGTACAACTCTATTTATACTTAAGGAATTAAGTATAAATAGATTAATAGAGAATTAAAGGGAAAAATAAGGTTAAAATGTGTTAAGATAATTATAGGATAGAAAACAGAGGAAGATGGAAAGGAATTGCTGAAACAACTAATAGAAGTGGAATACAAAAAGGGAGGTGTGAGGAGGTCATTGAAATAAGTGAATGAAAGATAAGATATTGAAACTATTTGATGTGTTTTAAATTGTTTTCGTTTTGTTTTGTTAGTTTAATGTGTTAGTGTTATGTATTGTTTTTGTATTGTATTGTTTATTTTTTCTTTGTAGTGTTTAAATTGTTGGAAAAGTAATAAATATTATTTAAAAAATAAAATAAAATAAATGTACAACTCTATCTTAACAAGTTACATGTGCAGTAAAATGAACCGTTCAACAAGTAGCGTAAGTCCAATCACAGAACGGCAGCCCCGTGCCGCCACAATGGCAAGGGTAGCACACTGGAGAATATAAAAAAGTTTTTCAAAGCTGTTTTTCAAAGATTGAACTGGATGAGATGTTCTTCAATGGGTCTTGAGTTGGAAACACAAGCTGTGTGCATGGATCAATCACGGGAAGGCAAATCAAAGCCACCACCCTGGTAAGAATCACGCAAGTGGGCAAAAGGAGACCTGGATCTGATGAGCTGCAGAGCATCATGGAAATGTTCCCTTTGCTCCACGAGTCCTGATTTGTGTGGGAGACCACCTAGGCGGAGGAAGCAGAAACTGCCAGGAACAATAGCCTTGACCAGGCTCAAATATTCACATGGTGATGTTTCAGGACCACCCCCCTCAAAAAGGGAAATAAAAATGAGAACATTGTGCAGAACCTCTGTTTGGCTGCTTCTAATTTGGACCCTGCTGCGGCTGATTATTTTTGATATTTGTGGGCTGGGACAGAGCCACTGGTCCATCGGCTCTGCTGAGACCCATTCCATCAGGCTGCCTCTGTGGGAGAGATCAGAAGCAGAAGGCTCATTCCATCAACTTCCATCAGGCATCTCCTGCCTCTGAACGTTGCCAGCTGGTCAATATTAGGAGCCCTCATTTAGAAACCGATGCTTGAGTTTCAATTTTCCTCTTCCCTCCTGCTCCCTTTCCCCTTGCGTGTTGTGTTGTGAGTTGGGGTTTTTTTAAAAAAGAGTATAAGCCTGCAGGTCAGGGCTGTCTTGTTTTGACTGTATGTAAGCTGCTCTGGGGGGTTTTCTGGCTGAAAAGCAGGGTAGCAAAGCCTCTAATTTAATAAATAAATAGCACCGTCTGCACCAATTGGTAGCATTGCTGGCGAAGTCAAATTGCTGGAGAATCACAGCGCCTGCTGTGGCTGCAGAGACTAGCAACTCGTAGCTGCTGCCTCCTGTGTTGTTCATCAAAGTGATCTCCCTGGGGCAAATAATAATAATAATAATAATAATAATAATAATAATAATAATTTATTATTTATACCCCGCCCATCTGGCTGGGTCTCCCCAGCCACCCTGGGCGGCTTCCAACAAAGTATTAAAATAAGTGGTCTGTTAAACATTAAAAGCTTCCCTAAACAGGGCTTCCTTCAGATGTCCTCTAAAAGTCTGGTAGTTGTTTTTCTCTTTGACATCTGGTGGGAGGGTGTTCCACAGGGCGGGTGCCACCACCGAGAAGGCCCTCTGCCTGGTTCCCTGTAACTTGGCTTCTCGCAGCAAGGGAACCACCAGAAGGCCCTCGGAGATGGACTTCAGTGTCTGGGTTGGACGATGGGGGTGGAGACGCTCCTTCAGGTATAATGGACCAAGGCCATTTAGGGCTTTAAAGGTCAGCACCAACACTTTGAATTGTGCTTGGAAACGTACTGGAAGCCAGTGTAGATCTTTGAAGACTGGTGTTATGTGGTCTCGGCGGCCGCCCCCAGTCACCAGTCTCGCTGCCTCATTCTGGATTAGTTGTAGTTTCCAGGTCACCTTCAAAGGTAGCCCCATGTAGAGCGCATTGCAGTAGTCCAAGCGGGAGATAACTAGAGCATGCACCACTCTGGCGAGACAGTCTGTGGGCAGGAAGGGTCTCAGCCTGCGTACCAGGTGGAGCTGATAAACAGCCGTCCTGGATACAGAATGGACCTGTGCCTCCATGGACAGCTGTGAGTCCAAAATGACTCCCAGGCTGCGCACCTGGTCCTTCAGGGGCACAGTTACCCCATTCAGGACCAGGGAGTCCTCCACACCCGCCTGCCTCGTGTCCCCCCAAAACAGTACTTCTGTCTTGTCAGGATTCAACCTCAATCCATTAACCACCATCCATCCTCCAACCGCCTCCAGACACTCACACAGGACCTTCACCGCCTTCACTGGTTCTGATTTAAAAGAGAGGTAGAGCTGGGTGCCATTCGCATATTGATGAACACCCAGCCCAAACCCCCTGATAATCTCTCCCAGCGGCTGCATGTAGATGTTAAAAAGCATGGGGGAGAGGACGGAGCCCTGAGGCACCCCACAAAAGCCTGGGCCGTGTGTCTGGAGGTTCTCGGCTGCCCTGACCACAAGACTCCCCTCTCGGCTTCGCTGAGGTGATCTAAAGGAAAGCAGAGCAAGAAAGATCATAGAATCATAGAATCATAGAGTTGGAAGAGACCACAAGGGCCATCGAGTCCAACCCCCTGCCAAGCAGGAAACACCATCAGAGCACTCCTGACATATGGTTGTCAAGCCTCTGCTTAAAGACCTCCAAAGAAGGAGACTCCACCACACTCCTTGGCAGCAAATTCCACTGTCAAACAGCTCTTACTGTCAGGAAGTTCTTCCTAATGTTTAGGTGGAATCTTCTTTCTTGCAGTTTGGATCCATTGCTCCGTGTCCGCTTCTCTGGAGCAGCAGAAAACAACCTTTCTCCCTCCTCTATGTGACATCCTTTTATATATTTGAACATGGCTATCATATCACCCCTTAACCTCCTCTTCTCCAGGCTAAACATGCCCAGCTCCCTTAGCCGTTCCTCATAAGGCATCGTTTCCAGGCCTTTGACCATTTTGGTTGCCCTCCTCTGGACACGTTCCAGTTTGTCAGTGTCCTTCTTGAACTGTGGTGCCCAGAACTGGACACAGTACTCCAGGTGAGGTCTGACCAGAGCAGAATACAGTGGCACTATTACTTCCCTTGATCTAGATGCTATACTCCTATTGATGCAGCCCAGAATTGCATTGGCTTTTTTAGCTGCCGCGTCACACTGTTGGCTCATGTCAAGTTTGTGGTCAACCAAGACTCCTAGATGTCTGGCACCACCTTGGCTGCTGGAGTTGAGTTGCCAGAAGGAGGTGTACCAGGTACTGTTGAATCATCTTGGGAGTCCACTCAAGATCCGAAGATCTGCTCCTTAGCTTTTCCTTCTCTTTACACTGTTCTGCAAGGCACTGGGTAAGGATTTTAATCCCAAAGCCTTTCTCACAAATGAGTAAGAGCTGTTTGACAAGTGGAATGGTCTCCCTCTGGAGCAAGGGTCAGCAAACCTTTTCAGCAGGGGGCCAGTCCACTGTCCCTCAGACCTTGTGGGGGGCCGGACTATACAGTGGTACCTCTGGTTGCGAACGGGATCCCTTCCAGAGGCCCGTTCACAACATGAAAAGAGCGCAACCCGCAGTGGTGCAACACATGGGTTGCGATTCGCTGCTTCTGGGCATGCGCGTGATGTCATTTTGCGCTTCTGCGCATGTGCGAGCGGCGAAACCCGGAAGTAACCCTTTCTGGTACTTCTGGGTCGCTGCGGGACGTAACCTGAAAGAACGTAACATGAGGTATGACTGTATTTTGGGAAAATATATATGAACAAATTCCTATGCCCCACAAATAACCGAGATGCATTTTAAATAAAAGCACACATTCTACTCATGTAAAAACATGCTGATTCCCGGACCGCCCGTGGGCAGGATTTAGAAGGCAATTGGGCCGGATCCGGCCCCCGGGACTTAGATTGCCTACCCATGCTCTGGAGACTGTGGACTCTCCTTCCTTGGAGATTTTTAAGCAGAGGTTGGGAGGCCACCTGCCAGGGATGCTTGAGCTGAGATTCCTGCATTGCAGGGGGTTGGACTGGATGACCCTTGGGATCCCTTCCAAGATTACAATTCTGCCGCAAGGTGGCGGAGCTTCAGGACCAGAGATTTCCTTCTTCCAGGTGGGCTACCTTCCCAGGCTGATGAGCCCCATTTATCCAGCAGCAGCCATCCAGGATTTCAGGTAGCACCACCTGAGGGCGGGGGAACCCGTGGGTCCTTCTGCATGCCGAGCAGGTGTCCTTATCTCCTGGGCCCTTGTAGCTCTGTGCCAGGGGGCGGAAGGACGGCTCGCAATGTTTTAGGTCAGCGAACAAATAAAAAACCTCCCCTCTCCAGTAAAGGCCAAAGTCTAAAATTACTCAACTGCATCACTGGCCCCCCTTAAGCTGCCAGTTGGTCGCAGGACAAATTAGTTTAGCCAGGAAAGAGAATTCCAAGACTCTGCTTTTTCGGTAAGAGGAGGTGATGTTCTCCTGCCTCCTGGATGGGGTCTGGAAGTTATTTTTCTCTATGTGTGTGTCGTTTCTTTTTTTTTGTGCGTGGCAGAAGCATGCGAGACCCGGTAGCCAGCGGATGGCCTTTGGGGATGCTTTTGCTGAGCACACGGCGTCCCAACAGGGTGAGATCACTCCTTTCCTTTATTTTCCTTGGAAAAACACACACCCTGAGCCGTTCCTCTGATGGTTCGGGGAACTTGTGGCTCTCTCCAAAGCTCGCTGTTTCCCCCAAAACAAAGACTTTACCCACAGAAGCTGAGGACAAACACACCTCAACAGGCCAGGTGGCTCCTCTCTGACTTAATGAAGAGGTAGTCTTGGGAACAGGAGGAAGAAAAAGATGCTGGGAAGCTTAAGGATGTGGGTCTACTCCCAACACAATCCTGTTCCCCACAGAGGCCAACTGGACAGCTCAGGGAAGCCCACAAACAGGGAGGAAACAGCTCTCTCTCCTCAGAGGTTGATTGCCCTGGACATGGAAGTTCTGCTTGGGCAAAGGATATAGAAAGAAATGTGTTGATTTGGACCAAAGCTGTGCCTGGTCTGTGCTAAGTTCCTAGCATCTCAAAGTGTTGGTGCTGACCTTTAAAGCCCTAAACGGCCTTGGTCCAGAATACCTGAAGGAGCGTCTCCACCCCCATCGTTCTGCCCGGACACTGAGGTCCAGCTCCGAGGGCCTTCTGGCGGTTCCCTCACTGCGAGAAGCCAAGTTACAGGGAACCAGGCAGAGGGCCTTCTCGGTGGTGGCTCCCGCCCTGTGGAACGCCCTCCCACCAGATGTCAAAGAGAAAAACAACTACCAGACTTTTAGAAGACATCTGAAGGCAGCCCTGGTTAGAGAAGCTTTTAATGTTTAACAGTATTTTAATACTTTGTTGGAAGCCGCCCCGGGTGGTAAATTATTATTATTATTATTATTATTACTAAGGAATGTGTTCTGTCTGAAACTCCAGAGCAGCTGCTACCAGTCAGTGTGTGCAGACCAAACTAAGCCACATAGACCAGCTGCTTGATTCTGTATAAGGCAACTCCTTGTGTCCTTCTTCTTATCCTGATTCACGCAGTGGAATGCTTTCAGGAAGGCGAGCAAGGGGACGGAGGTAATTCAGGGGTAGACTGCCTCTGTGTGTGGAGGCCCCATTTGTAGCCACCTAATCGAATGTCCTGCCTCCCACCCTGGCTAATGAGATGCTTCTGGAAAGACCACAGGGAGGGCAAGAAGGCAAAAGCCCCTGCCCACCGCTTGCCAAAACCTGTGACCAACACTGGCTTGGGTTGAGAAGGTACCTAGAGAGATCACAAAGCTGAGACTCAAAAATCACAAAGCCCATCATTCTCTTTCTAACAGCAGCCAGCCAGATGCCTTCAGCAGTTCAGCAGAAGACCCTGCAGTTGAGAAAGCTATCTCTTGCCCACTCTAACAAGGTTATGACCCCTGTGTCTCCAGCACACATAGTCAGAGGCTGTAGGAGCGCCAGGTGGGGAGCTGGGTCTGCGCCAGGGCTCAGAGCTGATTACAGAAGGTAGGTGTGCTGGGCCTGGGGGTAACCCGTGAAACGCGGTCCAGGACTGGTCCAGAATCCGAAGGTCCTGCTGGGAGTGAGTCCGACAGGGCCAAGGCAGGACATGAGGCAGGAAACCAGGCAAGGACGGGTACAGGATCTAGAATACAGTAATGTTGCTCCCGCAACCTGGGGCAGAGTCCGACAGCCTTTTATCTTTGTTGGGGTAGCAGCTGGTCCTGATCCCCCAGCGACTCACCTCCCTGTTTCACCCGAAGGCGAGCACTCCTCCTGCAAGTACTCAGGTCTCTCCTCCTCTCAGACCTCAGTCTCTGCAGCTCGGGAGACATCGGTGGGTTACTAAACCCAGAGGCCGCCTCAGCCTCCCCTGACCCAACCGGTAGTGGAGCAGCTGTGAGTGATGGCCCAGCTGGAGGCAACGAGGTCATCCCCGCATCTGGAGCCAGGGCAGGCTCAGGCCCCTGACTCGGCCCAGCTGGTGTTTGTTGCAGGGGAACCTGTGCAGACTGGATCAGGCCCCAGACTAGGTTCAGATGATGCCTGAGGCAGAGGATCCAGTGCGGACTGAGAATCCTCTGGCTCCGAGTCCGAGTCCCAGGCCATCACAGTAGGGAGACCATCGCACCTGAGGTGGTTGGGCAGGACTCCCCAGGGGAACCTACCAGGCCACCAGGACCTATAAGGCTGGAGACTGGACCCTGGTGGGCACCTTTCCTTTCCCAACACATCACCTGTTCAGGAGCTCTTCAGGAGGGAGGCTGTGGAATGGGGGAGGAGTGCTCATCTTCAGGCCTGAAGGTTGGTCCTTTAAGGCTCTGAAGGTCTCCACAGGTGAGTTTAGCCTGGGGGCAGCAGTCCGGACAGAGGTACAAAATAATAATAATAATAATAATAATAATAATAATAATAATAATAATAAAATTATTTGTACCCTGCCCTTCCCGGTTCAGAAAACTGGGCTGAGGGCAGCTAACAACAAATTTAAAACACTTAACTGATGCAACAAAAAACAGCATAAAATGCAGTATAAAACGTGAATAACAATAAATTCAGAATTCAAAAATCAATTTAGGGGGAAAATCCATCCAATAAACATTAGATGATCACCAGGGCTAGCTGGCTGAATTAGTCCTATTTGGGCCAGTGAGGAGACCAGCTGTGGGATCCCAGAGTGGGTAATCTTCATAAAACGGGGAGGGGGAGGGAAGGAAGGGGAACAAAAGATCAGGCTAAGTTCAAATTGAAAGTCAGGTGGAATAGCTCTCTCTTACAGGCCCTGCGGAAGGAAGTTAAATCCTGCAGGGCTCTATTCTCATGGGAAAGAGCATTCCACCAGGTTGCAGCCATCACTGAGAAGGCCCTGGCCTCAGTCTACTCCCAAACTCTGTCAGAGCAAGGGGTTTGCTTGGAGCTGTCCGTGGTTCAGCAACCTTTGTCCAGCCTTGCCGCTTTCCTCCAGTGGTTCCGGGATTGGACCAGAACATGATAAACCTCTGCTGCAGTGTCTGTGTGATGGGTAAGTTTATTTAGGGAGCAGGGTCCTCCGAAACCCGGAGCCAACACAGCTAACCACCCTCTGCTCTCTGCCCACAGTATCTGGTCCTCTACCGGGCAGTCATGGAGAATGGCCAGTGTTCTTAGACCTCTGCAGCTTGACCAGCTCCCTTTCAAAAAACTTGTAAGTGTGGGGCTGTTGCCACTGGCTGGTTTTCCTTCCATAGGTTGGGCATCGAACCCATTTCCTGGGGGATAAGGTAAAGGTAAAGGGACCCCTGACCATTGGTCCAGTCGTGACCGACTCTGGGGTTGCGGCGCTCATCTTGCTTTATCGGCCGAGGGAGCCGGCGTACAGCTTCTGGGTCATGTGGCCAGCATGACTAAGCCGCTTCTGGCAAACCAGAGCAGCGCATGGAAACACCGTTTACCTTCCCGCCGGAGTGGTACCTATTTATCTACTTGCACTTTGACGTGCTTTCAAACTGCTAGGTTGGCAGGAGCAGGGACAGAACAACGGGAGCTCACCCCGTCACGGGGATTCGAACCGCCGACCTTCTGATCGGCAAGTCCTAGGCTCTGTGGTTTAACCCACAGCGCCACCCGCGTTCCTTCCTGGGGGGTACTTTCTGTATAACAAGTTCCCCCCTCCCCAGCTATTGGTTGGTCTCTGGTGATGTCCACCTCTATTCTACTTCTCTTCTTCCTTAAAAAGAAGTTGTTTGCTTAATCAAAATGCCAATCTCTCTCTCTCTATATTCAAGATGGAGGGCAAGCAAGGAAGAATTGAGTCAAGGGCATAAAGCGAGCCAGGAACTGAAAACAGTATTATTACCATAAGGCTGATTTCTGGTAAAAAGTCGGGATCCAAACGAGAGACGTGATGTTTTTGTGACCTCCCGCAATTGGGTCAGAAGTCCCGTGGTTGTGTGTGTGTGTTGGGGGAATATCAAACATCAGCCGCAGGAGTCGCTGGTTTTTGCCATCTCTTCTCGCTCCTATTGTCCAGCACGGGTCCATTTCATGATTTCATCCCCACTTGACCCGTGTTCCTTCCACCTCCTCCTCCTCCTCGTCCCACGGAGCGTTTCCTTTCCATCGGTTCCTCTTTCAACCAGTAGCTCAGCTACCGCCTAGGAACTCAGCCCAGGGTTCTAAGAAGAGGAGGGGAGGGGAAGGCGATTGTCTTTTAATTGAAAATGACATGAGTAGCAAAGGAAAAAATGTCTGAGGTTTCCTGCCAGGCCCTTTTAACAGCTCCTCCGGGCAAGCGATTACGCCATGCGCTGCGTTGGGTGGCGGTAGGAGAAGCAAGCTCTGGCAAGCCCCGGCAGGGCCGCCTGCAAACCTCATCACAACGAACCATTTGGAGAGTGAAGCCGAGAGGTGGAGGAGAAAAGAACGGACAAACACACAAGAATCAGTATCCTCTGTGGCCAAAGTAAATGAAGCCCACCGGAACATCAGCAACAAAGTGGCCCGGCCAGATGGGTGAACTGGATAAGAAGGTTGTGGTTGTGGTGGTTGTTTTAACAGGCCTTGTCCAGATTTCTGGCTTGTTTGGAAGATTCAAGACCAGGTTTCCTTAGCCTCGGCCCTCCAGATGTTTTTGGCCTACAACCCCAATAATAATAATAATAACAACAATAATAATAATAATAATAATAATAATTTATTATTTGTACCCTGCCCATCTGGTTTCCCCAGCCACTCTGCGCAGCTTCCAACAAAGATTAAAAATACATTAAAATGTCACACTTTAAAAACCTCCCTGAACAGGACTGCCTTCAGATGTCTTCTAAATGTCAGGTAGTTGTTTATCTCTTTGACATCTGGTGGGAGGGCGTTCCACAGGGCGGGCGCCACTACCAAGAAGCCCCTCTGCCTGGTTCCCTGTAACTTGGCTTCTCACAGGGAGGGAACCGCCAGAAGGCCCTCGGCGCTGGACCTCAGTGTCCGGGCTGAACGATGGGGGTGGAGACGCTCCTTCAGATATACTGGACTGAGGCTGTTTAGGGCTTTAAAGGTCAGAACCAACATTTTGAATTGTGCTCGGAAACGTACTGGGAGCCAATGTAGGTCTTTCAAGACCGGTGTTATGCGGTCTCGGCGGCCGCTCCCAGTCCCCAGTCTAGCTGCCGCATTCTGGATTAGTTGTAGTTTCCGGGTCACCTTCCAAGGTAGCCCCACTACCCTAGCTAGCAGGACCAGTGGTCAGGGATGCTGGGAATTGTAGTCTCAAGACAACTGGAGGGCCGAGGTTGAGGAAGCCTATTGAAGACAGTCTACAAGCCAGGACTTCCCTTCACACAACATATAGTCAATGTCCACTAACTTGGATGGCTTTAAAAGGGCACTCACTCGACAAATTCATGGAAGATAAGATTGTCTGTTGATGGCTAGTGGCTCCAAGTGATGTTTCTGAATACCAGTTACTGCATGAGGGGAGAGTGGTCTTGGGTTCAGATTCTGATTGGGGCTTCCCACGGGGCATGTGGTTGGCCCCTGTGAGTACTAAACTAGATGGGCCTGATCCAGCTAGCTCATCTTCTGTACATATGTTCTGTTGTGCAGCCAAAAGCCTTTGTGCGGGCGGCAACACGAGAACGGGCCCTTTCGGTGGTGGCTCCCCACTTGTGGGATGCTCTCTCCGGGGAAGCTCACCTGGCTCCTTCCTTACATATATTTAGGTGCCAGGCGAAAACATTTCTCTAGCACCAGCCTTTGTCTGATTAAACAATCTGTGGCCTTTTAAACAAGTTTGTGGGACGGGGAGGGTTTTTTTTTGGTATTATGTTATGTGTTTTTGTGTTTTTATACTGTAAACGGCTATGTGATCTTCGGATGAAGGGCGATATAGAAATTTAATAAGGAAGAATAAGAATAATACTTTGTTGGCTACCATCCAAACCATGCAATACATAAATTAAAAAACCCATCAGTTAAAACGAAACAATCTGCTTCAGTGAAAAGTTCACTCAGTTTGTTTCTCCGGCAATGCCAGCCATCGTCTCCAAAAAAACACTCAACACACCTCAAAGGGCTTGGCAGAAGGGCAAGCTTTATAGCTGGCACCAAAATAAATCATTATTATAATCTCCACTTCCCCCAAATCAGGTTCCAATAGGGTTTCATCCCAGTGAGGCGTGTCTCAGGATGACGACCCGGTGTTGCCTGATCTTCTTTCCACAAACGCTGCCCGTTCGTTTGTTCCTTTGCTCCTTCAGCCATATGGTGGCCTGTAAAGGTTTCCCAAATTTAGCCTTGGGCCCTGAGCGATGCTTCGCTTCCGTCCGCATAAGCTGAACATTGTTAATTCTGTACAGATGGGTGGATTGTACAGATTCCCCAGACTCTGGCCAACCCCTTCTGTTGCTGAAGGAGTCGTCTTATACAAGGCGTCTCTTTGTATAGCTGCCTGGGCTGCCTGCGGTTGACAGTGGTGGTCCAGCTTACCTTTCCGTTCCTCCTTGCCTACTGAGTTAACTGCTGCCCTTTTGCTTCTGCGACACTAGTCCTTTTCTACGGAATTCATTGACGCAATTCATTTGCTCAAGTTATTATAGGGGAGAATCCGCCAGGCTCCTGCATTCCAGTCTTCTCTGCAACGCCTTCCTGTCTTCTCCCACTCACCAAGACATGGGTTTAGGGGGATTTTTTCCCCTTTGACATGTAGCCTCTATACAGAGGCGCTCTGCGGAGTGTCAAAGCAGCACCGAGGCACTGGGGGAGAGGGGCTGTACGTCCGTTTCTGCTGGGGGCTTCAGTACCCCACTGTTTTGTTAATGGAGAAATCCCTTGGACAAAAAAAACAAGGACACCAGCCAGGAATACCAGAGCAAAACAGCAGCCAGTAGGCTTGGTCTTTATTGAAGACTGTCGCGACAGGACTCCCACCTGCCACCAGGTGGAACAAGATGGAAGCCCCGAACAAAAGAGAACCCAAACTTTTATTAGCTGCTCATCCCCATGTTACACCCCCCCCAAACTACATCATGATTACATCATGAAAGGGGAGGTCTGGTGGCAGGAATCTGAGCATCCTGGACCCTGCCCCATGGTTCCCCTTGCCCTCCACCAAACACCCATCAAGTGTAACAAAGAGATATTTACATTTCCTGTTTCCCAGCCAAGTTAATCCCACCCTTTGTCTGCATCTGGGTTTGTTATTTCTGGAATGGCTACCTGTCTGGCACTCAGGTATCAGGATGCCAGGGATTATCACTTAGGCAGAGGGGCTGCTGAGGAGCTGAGCTCACATGTCTATATCAATTTCCCAGTGAACTTGTACATAGAGACATTGATCAGTGAATTCTTACATTTGGTATCGTGCAGCAAAGGCCCTTTGAATAGATAGGAAGAAACTGTGATGAAGTGTTTCGTGGGGACAAATCACAAAAGTGATGGTGCTGATTTTGGTAGTGGGCTGCATGTGCATTATATCTGCAGGAGGGGCAACCCCCCCCCCCAACCTATACATAAATTCCTGCAATAGTTTCCCATTTGTATTTCCACATTTAATTTTAAGGGAAGGGCCACAGCTCAGTGGGAGCTTGGTTCAGTCCCTGGCTGGGGAAAACCTTGTGGGTGGAGTCACTACCAGTTTGTGTGAACAATTCAGTATATGAAGCACCTTCTTATTTAAATCAACCCTTTATTGATAACCTTATTCAGAATGGGGAAGTTCTGTTGTTGTTGTTTTATTATTAATTTATTTAACATAATTATTACAAAATATAAGCAAAATATTGCAAATACATACATATATATTTCAGATAAGCACACATATATAAAAAAAGAACAAAAGAGGAAAAAAGGAAGAAACGAACAAGAAAAAATAAAGAGAAGAAGAAGAAAAGTTTGAAGAATTTCTTCCAGATTTATCCTACAAATATCTCAATAATAAAATTTCATTGATTGACTTCCATCGCATACACTGCACTTCCTATATGCACTTTAAGCGAGATCTGTTATTCCGTATTTTTCCTATACAATCTCACACAAATATTCTAATCAATAAGTTTTCTAAATCTTTCATAAATGGGGAAGTTCCGTTGCTTGGCGGCAGAGGAGTTGCTTTGAATGCGGAACATCCAGGGATTAATCTACAGGTAGTTCTGAGAGAAGGGACGCGGGTGGCACTGTGGGTTAAACCACAGAGCCTAGGACTTGCCGATCAGACGGGGTGAGCTCTTTCCGTGCGCTGCTCTGGTTCACCAGAAGCGGCTCAGTCCTGCTGGCCACATGACCCGAAGCTGTATGCCGGCTCCCTCGGCCAATAAAGCGAGATGAGCGTTGCAACCCCAGAGTCGGCCACGACTGGACCTAATGGTTACCTTTTTAGTTCTGAGAGAACCTGAAACCCTGGAGAGCTGCTGCCAGTCAGGGCAGACAGTACTGGGCTAGATTAATTCTAAGACAGTTTCCGTTGTTCGTACGAACCACAAGCAGGACTAAAGTCTTAATTTAATTTTTAAGGGACAGTCGTGTGATAAGAGTTCAGTCCTTTGCATCTCCATGAAGGGGCTGGGAAAGACTACAGCTGTAGCCCCAAACATCTGGACGACACCACTTTGTGAAAGGCTGGGGGCAAGATCAGGGCCAAGAAGCGCAACCATTTCCCAAAAATGAAGCATGCCAGTAAGCATGAATAACATGTGTTTCACAATGCGCTTTTTACTCGACCCCTTTCCTGGGTTTATCCCAAGGGAGACCGTTCCACTGCTGAACCGCTCTTACTGTCCTGGAAGTTCTTCCTGATGTTTAGCCGGAATCTCCAGGCCATGGTTGTCTGCTGCAGAAAAGAAAAAAAAGAATCTCTGGCAACATCTTAAAGGCCAATGAATTTATTTGTGTGTTTTTTTTAAAAATTAAAGGTTTTCTTGATTTACAAAAGTGTGTGCAATGTCTCTCTCTCGTGTCCCCCCCCCCCCATGTAACATTTTTACAAATCAGTTTCATTTGTTGAGACATTAGGAAGAAAAGGGGGAAGGAGGCGAAGAAGGGGAAAGAGGGGGGTCAGGTGGTGATGTTTCTATTTTACTTACTGTATGTGGAGTTTGGTGTCAGCGTCGCTTGTGCAGGTTCTCTGCTGTTCACTTGTGTTCCTTTGGTGGTGAGAGAGGTTGGGGTTGGCCTAGGGTGTGGCTGTTCATTTGTGATTGGCTGTGGTGGTCTTTGTTTTCGTGTGTGAGTGAGGTGGGTGGGTGTTTTGGATCAGGTTAGCCATATTGATTTGTATGCTGTTGGTGGATTTTTGTCATTGTCTTGTTGAGCTGTGTGTGTGATAAAGGGGAGCCATACAGGGGTGAAGGTGTCTTCTTCTATTTGTCCCCATGTCAGTTTCTGTTTTTTGGTTAATTTTTCTAGTAGGGCTGTTTCCCATACTATTTGGTACCATTGGTCCATGCTTACTCCTGACAGGTCTCTCCAGTGTCTGGTTATGGCGTTTCTGGCTGCTGAAAGTAGGTGGGTTATGAGTTTTTTGCGGTGTAAGTGGGCATTACAGTGGTGCCCCGCAAGACGAATGCCTCGCAAGACGAAAAACTCGCTAGACGAAAGGGTTTTGCGTTTTTTGAGTCGTTCCGCAAGACGAATTTCCCTATGGGCTTGCTTCGCAAGACGAAACGTCTTGCGAGTTCTTGCGAGTTTGTTTCCTTTTTCTTAAAGCTGCTAAGCCGTTAATAGCCGCTAAGCCGCTAAGCCACAAAGCCATTAATAGCCGCTAAGCCGCTAAGCCGCTAATAGCCGTGCTTTGCAAGACGAAAAAACCGCAAGACGAAGAGACTCGCGGAACGGATTAATTTCGTCTTGCGAGGCACCACTGTATTGTCTTGGAAGGTGTTTAGTAAGGCCAGTTCTGGGGTGGTTTCTAATACTTGCTTGGTTATTTTACTTGCCAATGAATTTGTTGTAGCATCAAGCTGCATGTAACAAGAGTGGACTGTTCTGCATGGACATTTATGCCATGGGTATCTGATGTGGCTCCCTCCAGATTCTGTTGGACTGCAACTCCCATCAGTCCTGCTCTGAGAACTGGTCACCCTGGCTGAGGCTGATGAGAGCTGGAGTCCAGATCGATCTGAAGTTTACAGCATGTTATTCTTTGAAGGGGAACTACTTGAAAATGATTTACAGATGGTGTTTAACTCAGAGTAGACTTGCTAAGATGTGTAAGACTGAATCAGATAAGTGCTGGAGATGCAAAGAGGCAGAGGGAACGTGCTTTCATATGTGGTGGACATGTAAAAGGGTAAAAGAGTATTGGGAAATAATCCATAATGAACTGAAAAAAAGGTTTAAAAGCACCTTCCCCCCAAAAAACCAGAGTCCTTTTTGTTGGGGATAATTCAGATGGAAATTCCCAGGTGTCAAAAAGGGTTATTATGTATGCCACTACAGCGGCTCATGTTTCGTTAGCCCAGAAATGGAAAATGAACGATGTCCCAACCAAAGAAGAAGGGGAACTTAAACTGATGGAATATGCACAGCTTGCAGATCTAACGTATAGAATAAGAGAACAAGAAGAACATTAATTTAAAGAAGACTGGAAAATGTTTATGGAATATATGGGGGGGATTGTGTACAGTTGAAAACGTTGGCAGCATTAATATACAGTGGTACCTCTGGATACGAACGGGATCCATTCTGGAGCCCTGTTCGCATCCTGAAGTAAACGCAACCTGCGTCTGTGCGTGCGCAGGTCGCGATTCGCCGCTTCCGTGCATGCGCGTGACGTCATTTTGACCGTCTGTGCATGCGTGAGTGGCAAAACCCGGAAGTAATGCGCTCCATTACTTCCGGGTCGCCGCGGAGCGCAACCCGAAACTGCTTAACCTGAAACGACTTCAACCCGAGGTATGACTGTAAATCCAGCAGTGTAAATAAGTTTTGATGGGAGTAATAATAATCGAATACCAAATAGTTTAGTTTATATGTAAAGTGAACCATGGAAAGAGAAGTAGGGAAGTCATTGATATTTTAAGGTTTGTATAAATGAATACTCTACATTGTAAAACAGAAAATTTAATAAAAACAGAGAGAGAGGGGGAGAGAGAGGGAGAGGGAGATTTTTTATTTAAAAAATGTTTGGGGGTTCTCTCGTTTGACTCAAGTAAGCCACCATTTTACAGTTCAATTGTGGTTCCAGCTGTTTCATCCCTCTGCTGCTATCACCTGGGTTTTTGGGCTGAACGTGGAAAGAAAAGGGGAAAGGAGCAAGAGAGAAACAATCCAGAATTACAGGATCATTTATCTTATTTTCATTTTTCGTCCCCCCCAGGCCACTTAGCATAGAAGCGGCTGCTGACTGCTGGATGTTTACACCGAATCGCAGAGAAAATAGAATGTCCTTCAACAGCCCTCTGGTGGAAGAAGAGTGAAATGGAGTGGACAGACATTCTTCTCCCTTTTCAAATAGCACTAAAACTCAGGATCTGCCCCAGTGAGATCGACAATAGATTCAGAGAGAAAGGACTCATTCACACAAAACGCTTGTGGGGTCTCATGAGGATTTCCTCCGCTCCACTTCAAAATCGCAAACTGAGGTGGAAATGTGGAGCTCTGAAAATGAAAGAATGAGAAACGGAGAAAAACAGAAATGGATAGATTTGCAAAGCTTTCCCAATCCCCAGGTAATTCTACTCACTTTGGCTTCTCTTGGCTTTTCTTCAGCTGGACATACTTCACTTCTAATTTCTGACTTATAATGGATCCACATCACCAGAGACAGATCCGAGGGACTGTTAGATTTTGCCTTCTCAAATATGAGGGAACAACCCGTGTAAAAAAGGTAAAGGGACCCCTGACCATTAAGTCCAGTCGTGGCCGACTCTGGGGTTGCGGCACTCATCTCGCTTTACTGGCCAAGGGAGCCGGCGTACAGCTTCCGGGTCATGTGGCCAACATGACTAAGCTGCTTCTGGCGAACCAGAGCAGCGCACGGAAACGCCGTTTACCTTCCTACTGGAGCGGTACCTATTGATCTACTTGCACTTTGACGTGCTTTCGAACTGCTAGGTTGGCAGGAGCTGGGACTGAGCAATGGGAGCTCAACCCGTTGCGGGGATTCGAACCACCGACCTTCTGATCGGCAAGTCTTAGGCTCTGTGGTTTAACCCACAGCGCCACCCGCATCCCTAACAACCCGTGTGTGTGTACACAAAATACATATGTGGAAGAATAGACTGTTAGACCTTTAAAATACACCCTTGTGAATGCCAAAGCTTCCCTCTTCCCCCAGCCTAGGAAAAGACCGCATGATGGTAAATTAAGAATGGTTTACTTACAAATTCTTCAAAGGTCAGATTTCATACAGCATTCAGAAACAGTTGCACAGGCAATAAAACTTGGCTTAGTGGAGAAAGTTCCTGAATTGTTGGTATAGAAACACAAGAACAGTTTGTGAGAGCCATGGGGCTACGCTGGAGCAACCTGCCTAGCTGAGTCAGGTAGACTGGAAGGGAACAAAGCCTTGATTACCTGGTCCCTCCCAAGGTGAGCTAAGTCTGGCAGGACAGTTTACTCTATGGTCTTAACCCCTTCATGCACTAATTACATGTGAAACTTGAAAAATTAGAATATCGTGGAAAAGTTCATTTATTTCAGTAATTCAACTTAAAAGGTGAAACTAATATATGAGATCTGTATCAATAGGAGTATCAATAGGAGTATAGCATCTAGATCAAGGGAAGTAATAGTGCCACTGTATTCTGCTCTGGTCAGACCTCACCTGGAGTACTGTGTCCAGTTCTGGGCACCACAGTTCAAGAAGGACACTGACAAACTGGAACGTGTCCAGAGGAGGGAACCAGAATGGTCAAAGGCCTGGAAACGATGCCTTATGAGAAACGGCTAAGGGAGCTGGGCATGTTTAGCCTGGAGAAGAGGAGGTTAAGGGGTGATATGATAGCCATGTTCAAATATATAAAAGGATGTCACATAGAGGAGGGAGAAAGGTTGTTTTCTGCTGCTCCACAGAAGTGGACACGGAGCAATGGATCCAAACTACAAGAAAGAAGATTCCACCTAAACATTAGGAAGAACTTCCTGACAGTAAGAGCTGTTCGACAGTGGAATTTGCTGCCAAGGAGTGTGGTGGAGTCTCCTTCTTTGGAGGTCTTTGAGCAGAGGCTTGACAACCATATGTCAGGAGTGCTCTGATGGTGTTTCCTGCTTGGCAGGGGGTTGGACTCGATGGCCCTTGTGGTCTCTTCCAACTCTAGGATTCTATGATTCTATGAGATAGACTAATGACATGCAAAGCGAGATATGTCAAGCCTTTATTTGTTATCATTGAGATGATCATGGTGTACAGCTGATGAAAACCCCAAATTAACAATCTCAGTGTTATGCACTGAGTGGAATAGGATCCAAAAGGCAGCAGTCTGATTGGTCCTAGAACAATAGGATCCAGAATGCAGCAGTCTGATTGGTGTACAGGAGCCACCCAATCCAGCTCCAGGTGGAAGTGAATCCGCAACCTGATTGGCCTACAGGAGAATCCTGGAATTAGCCAATCATGTGGGACCCATTGTGTAAATAATGCAGACATTCTGGGGGAACTCCCATTCCGCCTCACCACTATGAGCTGAATAAAGGGCATGAAATCCACCCTCAACTCTGAGTATATTTCACTCAGAAAATTAGAATATTGTGAAAAGGTGCAGTAGCTATTCAATCCATAGCACCTGCAATGGGTTCCTGAGCCTTGAAATGGTCTCTCAGTCTGGTTCAGTCGGAAGCACAGTCTACTTAGATTATTATGTTCTTAGGGATATTTGGCCACTGTGAGAACAGGATGCTGCGCTCAATGGGCCCCTTTTGGCCTGACCTCAGGGACCTGGTTTGAGCCCCCTTCTGGCATTGCTGGGGGTTGGGCTAGATGACCCTCAGGGGTCCCTCCCAATTCTCCAGTTCTATGATGCGTTCCATCAAAGCTGAAAAGCTTCCCAGATTTTGCAAATGCAGCTCTATAGCCCAAGTAGTGATTTCTCATAGTGTTGGTTGTTGGGGGGGGATGTTTGCAATAATAATAATATTCCCATATATTAGTGAAAATGATATGGAGAAATTGCATCTTGTTTAAGGCAGGGGGACCTGTTCTGTATTAAAAATGTGTGCATTAATAATTTAAAGTACAGATAGCAAGAATGCATAAAACCGGCTCAAATGTATGTTGGAAATGTAAGGAAAAAGAAGGGACTTTTATCACATGTGGTGGGATTGTAGAGAAATTTTTAAAAATTGGGAAATGATATATAATGAGTTGAAGAAAATGTTCCAATTAACATTTGTAAAAAGGCCTGAAGCATTTTTGTTAGGGATTGTAGGGAAAGACCTGCCAAGGAAAAGGAAGAATATATTTATGTATGCGACACCGACATCTTGGGCTCCATGATCACTGCAGATGGTGACAGCAGCCACGAAATTAAAAGACACCTGCTCCTTGGGAGAAAAGTGATGGCAAACCTAGACAGTATCTTAAAAAGCAGAGACATCACCTTGCCAACAAAGGTCCGTATAGTTAAAGCTATGGTTTTCCCAGTCGTGATGTATGGAAGTGAGAGCTGGACCATAAAGAAGGCTGATCGCCGAAGAATGGATGCTTTTGAATTATGGTGCTGGAGGAGACTCTGGAGAGTCCCATGGACTGCAAGAAGATCAAACCTCTCCATTCTGGAGGAAATCAGCCCTGAGTGTTCACTGGAAGGACAGATCCTGAAGCTGAGGCTCCAATACTTTGGCCACCTCATGAGAAGAGAAGACTCCCTGGAAAAGACCCTGATGTTGGGAAAGATGGAGGGCACAAGGAGAAGGGGAGGACAGAGGACGAGATGGTGGGACAGTGTTCTCGAAGCTACTAACATGAATCTGACCAAACTGCGGGAGGCAGTGGAAGACAGGAGGGCCTGGCGTGCTCTGGTCCAGGGGGTCACGAAGAGTCAGACATGACTAAACAACAACAACATGCGACGCCGGCAGCAAGAGTCTTAATAGCGCAAGGATGGAAGAATGAAGAAACCCCGACGAAAGAACAGCGGCAAGAAAAATTGATGGACTATGTGGAACTGGCAAAATTGACGCATAAATTACGTGACAAGGACAACTGTGACTTTAAAGAAGAATGGGATCCTTTTACAAAGCACTTAAAGAAACAACAAAATGAACTGGACTCCTTGGCAGGTTTTGAATAAACGTACATTTATTTGTTAACGTAATAGATGGATAATTTAGAGATCATTACCTTTTTATAATATGCAGAGAACACTATGTGTTAATAAATCAGAGAGAGGAACTGAGGGAAGTCGTAGGGAGGAGGGGGAAAATGGGGCGGGAATACAATTGCTGAAATAATTTGTTATGTTAAAATAATCAATACAAAATTCTAAAAATAAAATGTGTGCATTAAATTGCAATTGCGCATGCAATGTTGATGAGAATTTTCATGCAGGCCTTTTTTTAAAAAACCTCCAAAACAAACAGCTCCAAAACAAACCATGATTTTGACACCTCTGCTCAGCCTTACTCCCGCCAGCACACCTGCTGGGGGGGGGGGTTGTTGTCCTATAAACCTCCTCCTCTTCCTCCCCCCGCCCCCCCGCTGCTTTTCCTCCTCCTCCTCCACCTGTCCGTCATGTGCCACAGACCCCTCCTCCACAAGGAGGGATTTGATGTGCAGGCAAGGCTTTAACTCTCCTCTTCCCCCTCCTCCCCGTTTGCAGAGGTGAATTTCTGAAGGCAGGAAGGAAACCTTGGGCTTGAAATCCCTATAGCTCTCATCGGGGGGGGGGAGTGTCAGCTGGACAGAATCACAGCAGCAGCAGCAGCAGAAAGGGGGTTGGTTTGGGGTGGGGTAAGGGGAAGGTTGCATGCGGTTCCCAGACATATTGAGCCTGCTCCTTCCTTCCTTCTTCCTTCCTTCCTTCCTTCCTTCTCTTAACCATCTTTTGCCATCTCGCGGAGCCTGACTGGTCCTTGCGGATAAATGAGGTGAGGATGCTCTGATTTCATATGCGTTTATATTTTTGCACCAGTCCTTTGAGCAATGCGTTTCCAGGGAAGGGAAATGGAGGCGCGGGGAGGTAGTAATAGGGAGGTCTGTGCAAAGAGGAAGGGAAATGGCCAAGGAGCCTGGGAAAAAGCAGCCGAAGAGATCAGCCAGGATTTGCAAAGCTTTAAGGAGCTTTGCAGGCGAGCCAATTGAAAGCATAGCAACAACAAGGGCTTGTTTGCATGTCGGTTCGGTGGCAGCGGACGCACCGGGCGGGTTGTCCTCTGCGGGTTGTGCGCGGTTCTTGCTAAAAATAAGAATAATTAGGTGCGTTGCCATTTCAGCAGGAGGTTGCTGCAGCTGGCCAGGGAGCCATTAAAGGGGGGGGGG